ACGGGACAAAAATGGGGCACCTATGAAAGAAGACAGTGGGTGGGGAGTGAGGGCGGAGGGTGGGTTGGGAACTAGGTGGAGGGGAGTTATGGTGGGAAAATAGAGTAGTGTAATAATCTGAACAATAAAGATTTAAATTAAAAAAAAAGAAAATAATTTTATGGTTGGGGGTCACCACAACATGAGGAACTGTATTAAAGGGTCGTGGCATTAGGAAGGTTGAGAACCACTGCTCTAAGCCAACAGCTCTGGGCACTGAGGTTTATCTCGCACTGGCTACCATATCGCCTTTTAAAACACTCTGGCCTGTTCCCAATCCACTCTCGTTTATTTCCTGGCAGGGGTCCCATTTAATTTAGCTGCTCCTCTCCTTTGCCCAGCCTTGTCCAGGGCAGAAGCAACCCCAGCCCCAGCCAGGGGAAGAGAGAGGGGATGGATCTACTAGTAGATGGATCTAATCCCGCCATGATAATCCAACCCCTATGCTATTAATTTGCTTAAGATAAAGGGGCAAGAAGCCCAATTCAGGGGCATATCATCCCAATGAGAGGGCGAGTGTGCCAAGGAAAGGGGCTCCTGAAAAGAGTTTCTTAACTCAGGAAGAGACACAGACTCTGGCCTGGGAGCATCACCCAGGTTGTAGGTTCGATTTCCCCTCAGGGCACATACCTAGGTTGTGGGTTTGTCCCCCATTGGTGTGTGTATGGGAGGCAAGCGATCAATGATCTTCCCTCACACTGCTGTTTTTTGTTTGTTTGTTTGTTTCCCTCTCCCTCTCTCTAAAATCAATTAAAACATATCCTTGGATAAGGAAAAAATAAAATAAATAAATAAAGTTGGTGTGTTTTTTTTTTAAAGGGAGACATAAAGTGGAGGTAGCCTTTTCCCTGTTTCTGGCTGTCAGGATATGAGGCTGTGATTCTGGAAGCTTCTTCAGCTGCCTGCCCACAGGAGGGACTAGCCTGCCCTCTGCTGAGAGTGTCAGAGATTAAAGCTGGGAAAGTCCTGTCCAGGCTTTCTGATGGCACCGTTGACTTTGTGGAGCCCTGACTCTTCCCAACTGTTCCACTGTTATGTGAGATAACCTCCTTATTACCATTTTGAATTTGGTTTTCTGAAATTTGCACCAAGTAAATTCATAATCCACTTATCAGATCACTCTTAAAATGCCTCCTGACATTTGGAAACCTACCAATTCACTAGTTCTGGAACCTGCCCCAGGTTACAGTACTGAACTTTGAAGGAGAATATGACCCAAGCCTGCCTGCCCCCACCGCACCAAACTCACACTACTGGGCTCCGCTGTAAGGAGACTGTAGAACCAGCATGTCAAACTCAAAGGCTAACATGGGCCATATAAACAAGGTCTAAGTTTATGTGGGACCCCCAAAAACAAAAGCTTCAATTTTCATAGAAACATAGGCTTATTTCAAAAAGTATAGTATAAAAAACAACAAGAACCATGATAAAATTAATGTTTTCTTCCTGACACTTGGCATCTCTTCTCTGCTACTATCTTTCCTGCTTTGTTTGGGGGGAAATCTTGTTTGCAGGGATTACTTTAAAAACTGACCCAAGGTGAATGTCAGTAATTCTGGATCTGACAGGAGACTTATTTCCTTTCATAATTGTAAATAACTGCTCACGCCGTTATTTTGGCTGGGCCGCAAAAATGTTCGGTGTGGGCCACATGTGGCCCGCGGGCCGAGAGTTTGACATGCTTGCTCTAGAACAGCGGTTCCCAACCTGTGGGTCGCAACCCCTTTGGCGGTTGAACGACCCTTTACAGGGGTCGCCTAAGACCATCCTGCATATCAGATATGTACATTACAATTCATAACAGTAGCAACATTACAGTTATGAAGTAGCAACGAAAATAATTTTATGGTTGGGTCACAACATGAGGAACTGTATTTAAAGGGCCAGAAGGTTGAGACCCACTGCTTTAGCTCAAGTGCGATCTTCACATTGTCACTGGCCACCATCCACCCAACTCCTGTGACCAGGCCCTGAACACCTGCACATCCCTTCATTTAATCTCACCACCATCCCGTGGTTGGCAAACTGCCACGTGCGGCTCTTTGGCCCCTTGCGTGTGGCTCTTCCTAAGCTTTAGGAGTACCCTAATTAAGTTAATAACAATGTACCTACCTATATAGTTTCAGTTTAAAAAATTTGGCTCTCAAAAGAAATTTCAATCGTTGTACTGTTGGTATTTGGCTCTGTTGACTAATGAGTTTGCCGACTACTGATCTAGATCCTTGATGTATGCAAAAACCAAGGCGGTTCATGAAAACAGAGAAGATAGATCAGCACAAACCCATTCTTCCTAATAGAACAGAAAACCAAAGCATATACTCTATGCATGCTGACTATATTATCTCCAGGTGCAGAGAACATTACCATATACAGACAGATACAAATAGTCTTAAAATAAAAGATTATTTACATTTTATGCTATTATTACTACCTTTAACAACTGGAGTTGGTCAAATGTTAATTCCTTTACTGGAATTTCAAATAATTCAACTGGATCAGCCTCAAATTTCTAAATAGAAAAGAAAAAGAAATATAGGCCTCAAATTATTACGAATGTTTACCCCAGGCAGGACTAATATCTTAATTTACTGAATGATGAGAACAATTATTTGATGACTAAAATGAACACA